AGATTTAAAAGCTATTCAGTGGTAATATCCACGGCCCTAAGCTTAACTGCTTTAGCAAGGACCAGATTTCTACCGGCCTGATCCTGTGTCATACAGAGCCTCCTTCAAGTTACATCGGCAGTAATGGTCATAAAAGGCACTACTTCTCCTGCAAGGAAAATGTTCCTCTCCAAAAGTCATCACCTACTTAGCATCCTAAAAACCGAAAGCCAGGACAGGCTGATCATGGAAGCCAGACTCAACCCAACAGATGTGCACAGAGCTGAATAAACCAGGAACGAAGAGCTTTGCTGCACCTGTTTAATCGAGTACAGAACAGACCTAATTTTACCGCGACATCAACTGAGGAATTTTTCACAGGCACTATAATCCACCAGAAAATTACCTTAAGCAGCATCTACTCCATGAAAGTACCCTTGAGAAATCTGTCCCTTCATCTGGGTTCTCATCCAACCCTACTACAGGCAAGCCAACCTAATTTCTCCTCATGTGTTGGCTAAAATAGGCAGCTGAAAAACGATTAAGAAAGAAATTCAAGACCTGGGCTGAAGGAAGGCAGATGTGTGCGAGCTGGCCAGCCACAAAAAATCCTCAGAAATTATTTCTCCCCTGCTCAGGTCTCCAAACCAGCAATCCCAAAAGCTCTTTTGAAAACAGATGGCACATAACTCATCCCCTGCTTCCAAAGGTGAACGACAAGCTTCCTGAACAGCAGCAGACCAAGTTCCCGGCTCCCCAGTTTTACATTGCCTCATTCAAATAGAGAAAAATTGCTTGTGTTAGATCAAGCCTGGAATTTGGTCCTCTTCATTTAACTTTCCCATGTGCTCAGATTTATTTTTTTCCCCCCAACAACCTTTTTAAGAGTCATTCTTCCCAGACCAGCTAAGATCCATGGCAAATATCTAGTTATTGTAAATAGGTTGCGGTTTTCTTCCATCCAGAGCCATCTCAAGACCAGGATGCACAACTGAAAAAAAGTTACCTTGAAGTTTTGGGGTAGTTTTTTGTATTTTAATTACAAGCTACGCATTCTTCATAACTCCTTTTTAGTGTCAATCAAAAAAAAAAAAAGCCCCCTTTGATTAAACACTGCTTATTTCACCAACTGGAGTCTTTTGAGAACTGGAAGACAATGAGAATGTAATGTTTAGGACTTGTTTTGCATGTCTCCACATCCGGCATATATGAGTCAGTCACACAGAATAGAAGCTTGTTAAAAAACAGATGACGGGTGCAACAATTATTTGTGTGGGTTTTTATTTCTTTTAATAGAAAATTCTAATATAAAACAGCAAACATTTTCAGTTTGCCTTGTTTACAAAAATATTATATATATTTTTTTATATTTCTGACATAACTAAATGCACTATTCAATAAAAATATTCTTCCATCAGCTAACTTCTCTTTTAAAAAAAATTAATAAAAAAGTTATATAAATAATGGTTGCACCCCCCCACACACCCCCAGAACTGATCTTGCAAGTCTTGCTGGATCAGCTTAGGAGAACCAATGCTTTGACACTTTTGGGGGGACAGGGGGTGAAAGGGGATCAGAAAGTAGAGATGTCCCCTACACCCATCCATCCTTCTCCAGTTACATCTGCTGCAAAAACCTGTTTCTCTGGGGGTAAGAAAAAGGGGGAAAGTTGCTTTGCACTTGTTTTTTGTTGGTTTGGGTTTTTTTTATATATGAAATGACACCATGAAAGATTCAGGGACCCAAATCCACTCCTGTAGTAGTTTTACAAAAACGAGCAATTTCATTGAATTGCACTGAAGATCCAATGGTGTGGTGGTAGAATTAGCCTCTCTGGAAAAATCCAATTTCATATAGCTGGAACAAAAAGGGTTTTACTACCCAATGTTTTATACAGGACTTCAGGGTCTCTTATTTCAGGTTCTCTGAACTAGTGTATGAGTAGCAGAAGCAGAAGCTCCTGCTCCATAGGTCAATTCAGTTCCAACTCACATCTATCTCCAGCAGAAAACCCAGGTCAAGCACTTGAGACAGTTTTGATAGGGTTGGACATCTTTTCTACCAGTTGCTACTTGTTTCATCCTATTCAAGCTCCACCGGATTTTTCCAAAACGAGGCTTTTCCCCCCATTCTTTCTTCAAAGATAAGGCAAACATCGGAAAATGCTGGAACTAAACATCCCCAACCCAAAAGACACACAATGCAGTGGGGGGGGGAGAAGAAAAATAACCTACATATGTTTTACCACCCTAGGTCAAAAGGCCAAGAAGACAAGTTCTCCTGATTTCAGAGTGTTAGTATATTTTATACACTGCCTATACATTTAACACATGTGCCTCGCTACTATTTAGTTATTTATATTTTTTTTTAACCACAGGAGAATAAACCTTGCTATTTACAATATATAACAGGCAAGTAATATATCCACATTAACATAAATACAATTTGTTTTTTTGTGGTGTGTTTTTTTTTTTTGTTTTCTTTTTTTTTTTAAATACTTACAGAAAGCATCCAGGCTTCAGTGCGTGAGTTATAATACACAGAAGAGCTCTTTCACTCAGTAGTTCATTCACTCTTTGCCTCTTTCTTCTAGTCAAGCTTTGACAGTCTGCCTTATTGCCCACTCATCTCTCTCTCCCCTCCGCTGCCAAACACACCGGGCTACCCTATCCCATCCCGCCCATGCCAACGCTGCCCTCTCTTCTGCATCTAGGGACTCATTCTCCTCTCACACCAGTGCAATGCGGAGTTACTCCAGCGAGGTCAACGGAGACAGAGACACCAGTGAAAAGAAGGAAAATGAGGCCCACGGTTTAAATACAACAATAGTAATAATAATAATTAATAATAATAATAATAATGCACATAAATTGCAGCCCATTCTTTAATTAAGAACCAGTATTTTTTTAAAAGAATGGAGCCAGAAATAGTAATTCAGACCCAAAAATCCTCATGTTTTGAGCAGGTTTGGATCCGGCTTTACTTTGGAGGGGAAGAGCTATTCTAGCACACACACAAAAATGTAACAGTGAGTTTGCATAAATGTGTGAGAGAGAGAGAGAGAGAGAGAGACAGAGGGAGAGAGAGAATTTAACATAATACCACATTGAAACCATAAGAAGGTCCTTCTGAAGGGCTTTACAATAAATAAATGTTCGTTCAATATTTATATATATATTTACGTGTCGGCGTGTGTGTATACACACACACACACACACACTGAATAATAGGTTTCTAGTCAGTTTATTTTTTTAAACCGTTAGATAAACTGCTCGTGGGTGACTTTCAAAGCGGTGCATGTCCCAGCAGCCGCGAGACCTTCCTGCAAACCTTCTGCGTCGAACGCACCACTGCACATTTGCCGTGGTGGAAGGGACAACCCAAAATCCATCTGTGGGTTCCTCCTTCTCCAGCACTACCCCAACCTCCCGAATTGTACAGCAAATAAGCAAATATCAAAAAACAGACAGTGCGCTTCACTTTGCAGGACTATAGCGCTATTAACAGTAATATTCCGTCCCTCCCCATGACCCCACCTCAAGATTTGATGCCAACGAGCCAGGCTGGACTGCAGGTATTTGTTACCAAGAAAAAAAAAATATATCTTTTCTCCTCCCAGTAGATGCACATGAACAGCTTAAATATTAGTGGCTACTATTTTGGGGGGAAAAAAAATAAGAAAGAAAAAAAAAAAAAAACCAAGAAAGAAAAGAAAAGAAAAAATGATAGTCCATCTTGGAAAATTGCTCTCTTTTTGCTTGGTTAACATCTACTACTGCCTGAAAAACTCCAGCCAGCTTTCCTCTTTCGAAAACCAGATCAACGGCTTATATAAAATCAGTGGAAATTACTACTACTGGACAATTAAAAATTGATACCTAGAATATAACAAAATGCCCTCAGCTCTCTGGTGTTTCCTGAGAAAGCTTTGTTGAGGCATTCACTGGCTGCTTCCAATCCACTTTCACGTGACTGAAGGATATTGCCGCATCAAGTCCTGGATTGTAAGTATCCTCTTCAAAGGAAAAAAGAAATGCTGAAAGTTGTCATCTATTTCACAGCGTCAGAGCGATTTACCTCTGCAGTCAATTTCTGGCTGCTCTGGCCACTTGATAGTTTGTCTCTGCGTCAATTGGTTGTTCCGAATCCAATAGTTGGTTACCATTTAGCAGTTGCATTTTTAAAATACAGTTCTCGATCTAGTGGTTAAAAAAAAAAACCAAAAACAAAAAACAACCTTAAGGTCATAGGGTTTACATACAGCTTGTGTCATGTACCACTGCCATGGTTTAGAGTAAATGGAATGATGACCTAGTAAAAGAGAAGTCAACTCCTCCAGAGGGCTGATCCAGTCCAAAATGGCTGCTATACAACGCAAGACAGCACTGCGTTTCAAGATGCACTCGAATTTCTCTCGTCCTACTCAGAAACACACGTCCGAATTCAGCTGGTATAAGACTAAAAAGTTCCAGTTTAGATTTCTGAAGCAGTTACCACAGGGTGAATTCGATCAACAAGAGGTGGGAAGAGGAGCAAAAAATAAATCATGCACAAAGTGAAAATAATAATAATAAAAAAAAGTATCTAGTGGTTTTAAAAAAAAAAAAAATTAAGACAGCAATAGTGCTAAAGAAACTGCATTTGAAGAAATTGTTTCAAAAATAAAGAACACGTGATTGGACTGAAAGGGACAGGCATGTCTGGTTTTCCACTGTCTTCCCAACCTCTTTCTTGGATATATTTCTGTCTGCAACATGGTGGACCCAACATTTTTGGAGCTGTATTTGGTGATCAAAGCATGCGGATACGGAACCGTCGGTAAAAAGCTTACCCTCCCAGTGGGTCTCTTTGTCAGAGCCTTGTTTGCTCAATGTGCGGAAACTCCACTAGAGGAACCACCAGGGCTGTTCCTGCTTACCCTACATGCTTCTCTCCAGTTTTAGAAGGGGAAAAAAATTGAGCACTTCCCGTACCATCGCATTCAAAGCAGAAAGATCTTTCTTTCGTATCTGCTTAGCTTTCTAAGCAGTTGGGTAAGCTTCAGGAATAAAGTAGTATAGATTATTTATGCCAAAAAGAATATATTAGCCCAGGAGTTCATGGAGGATTGGTGAAACGATCAAGATGTTCCAAGGATAAATGATCTGTCAAACTGCGTAGACGACTAAGGTGAAGGTCAACTGGTGTCTAACCCCAGTGTGACAGGCACTTATTTCCACATGGTTGGACCTCATTAAAATTCAGTCTACAGGAAAACAAAACAAAACAAAAACAAAACAGCAACACAGCTGGGTCACCTGTACCCTACAAAGTGCTTATGTCTCAACATAGCTTTCAGATCCCAGAAGGTCAATCAAACCCTGTTTGTCTCCAAATGTAGTTCTCAGATCGCCATCGCCCGTCACCGAGTGTTGCCATCAAGCAGAAGAGTCGTCAGTCTTTGCAGGTGTAAACCTCTTCTCTCTGGGTGCATTGCTTGCATTCCACATAGCAGCACCAACGGACCTGGCATTGGCACGGACGGGTGACCACCCGGCTCTGCGTATTGTGCCCTCGCCCGCAGCAGATGCTGTCACAGTTCTTGTCTTTGTAACATTTCCTTCCTGAAGTCCCAGGAGAGTATCTACTCATCATACAGAAGCTTGGGGAATCGTCAATGTAGACAAGATCCGTAGTCCTTGGGATTTGATCACTGTGACCAGGGATGGACTTCTTGGGTGGGGAGATGTCTCCCTCCCCCGTGGCCTCATTGGTAGTGCTGCCCACTTTGAGCGATGTCTCATACTTCTGCTTCAGCTGCTTCCCTATTTCATGGAATGGAGAGAGCTGCCTCCAGCACGTTCGAACAGTACAGGATCCAGATACGCCGTGGCATTTACAGGTTGTCTCCACTCCAGCTTTGATGACCTGCAGACACACACAGCCCCAAAAGAAAATCAGTTATGGGGGAAAAAATCAAGACACAGAGGGAAAAAAAAAAACAAAAAACAAAACAACCACCCAAATATTTGCTGGAAGACACTCCTGGAACACAAAGTTGATGACAACACAAAAACTCTCCATTGGAAGAGGACAGAAAACACACATCGCAGGAAATACTTGTTTTAGAAGGGTCCCTGTTACCAGGAATATGACATTTACCTGCCAGAATATTGCTTTATTGGCTAGTCAATGATCCTAGTAAAGTGTACAAGGGCTGTCCAATGCCGGCACTCATCTACGTTAGACAGAGGTCTGAAGCTGTGATGCAACTAAGAGATTAATACAGATTTTAACCTATTTTGTCTACTTTAATAAAAACAAAGAGGTAATATGTAATAAAAGTGGAAGGAGTTGTTTTAGTGAAGAGGGAGAGCACTGCTGTAATGCACACAAACACACAGGTGGGTTGGCACATGCTCCAGAACATGAGTGAGGACAGTAGGAACCTTCTCCACACCACCACACACAGGATACCACCTCAAACTCACGTAGCTCCCAATTAGCAGCACAGGGTCAGTGGACACATGGTTAAGCTGTGCCGTTTCCACCAGTAGGAAACAGTACCTAGGCATAACATCCTCCCCAGTTCACTTTTGACTGAGGAAAAACCTTCATAAATATATATATATATCCAAAAAATATATATAAGCCCTTGAGAACAACAGCTTGAATTGCCACCACCAAAACCAGCAGCTCCAAAAGCACCCAGGTAGCTTCCGCCTCTCCAGCTGGTCTTCAGGACCCTATTCTGGAGTGCGGTCGCACGTTCAAGAGGACCTGCCAATTTTTTTCTGCTCACAATGAAGAAGCCCGCACGTGCTTTTAAAAACAAAACACGCCATCACATGCTGGCCAAACACACTTTCAATGAAGCACAGTTTTGTGTAGGGTGAAACCCAAGGCTGCTGCAGTTTCCTCTGTGCCCTCCCTTTCTCTGAAAAATTAAGATGTGAAGAAATGGAAAACAGACCCCTGTGTGAAGAGCTCAGTAATTCCAGGTGCTTTAATGCAGCCCCCAGGATTTACTCTGCCTGTGGCACCAGTTGCAGGCAGCTTGGAAGGTTGGTTTCTCACACAGAAGGTTTCAAGAGGAAAAACGTGAAATCTGGGTTGATGCCACAGTAAGAAGAGTCCATCCCAGTGGGTTCAGCCCTCAGCCCATCAGGCAGCGATCCCTGGGGATGACAGGGTTGGTGGCTGCAGGGAGGACTAGGGGAACGGTCTTCAGTTTTCAACCAGAGAGAAGATGTGGAGCAGTTCACTCTGCAGGGAGATAAGAGGACTTTTCAGTTCTGGCCATGGGAACAGACCACCTACACTAAAGGCTGAACCATCTGTCCCATCATTAGCAAACAGGAGCTGTTCCACGTCGGGATGAGGAACCTCAACTGCTGCCTTGATGCTCCAGCAGCACCTTGGCTTGAGCAGGTCCTGAGGTTTGACCAGGCAAGACATAGAGCAAGGCCACAAGTGTTTACAAAAAGCCTGATCCAAGTGTGGGAAAGCCACTTAGCTCAATGCTGTGTAGGGCTTCTTGTGAGGGGATAAAGGGAAATGGCATCACACAGGCATTCAGGGGCTGCTGTGCCCAAATGTTGTCTGCACAAGCCACCATCCAGGGAGGAACAGGACACAAGGTTCATGTCCCAGGTTGGCATAACTTCTATAACGTACTGGCAGAACCTTCTATAAGGTGTTTTCAACTAGGATGGAAATGTATATTTTATTCTTAAAAAAAAAGCAGAGCACTTATGACCAAGGTCTTCAAACTCAATGTAGAAAAGAAAGGGAAGGCATTTAAGTCCTTGGAAACTGAAGTGGATTCTGTCCCCTCCACACCAGGACTCTCACGTTAAACTTTATGCCTGCTTATGCCTCTGGACTACAACTATCAAGGGCCAGGCTTGGTTTCAAATAATTTCTTAACCACTTAATTATTATTTTTTTATTTTAAAATTCACACACTCACAGTGGGTGTCATAATGAGAAATAAGACTCATCTCACAGATCCCTAAAGGTGGGAAATAACTTGTTCAAGTTATCAGAAAGGAAATGTATATGTCTGATCTATTCCCAAAACAAAAGAAAGTCAGTCTCCACATAGCGAGATGTCCAGGTCTTGCTCGGGGATAGCTTGCATGGGAACGGGTGTCTTCAGACCACCACAAAGTGTAAATGCAGAAGGAAGAGCAGAGCCAGTGGAACCACAATGTTCACAAATGAGATGGAGGGAATGGAAAGACAAGGTTATTTCCAACAGAAAAAAACAGCGTGAGAAGGACCAGCAGTGTCGGGAAGGGAAGAGAAGAAAGCAAAGAGGGTCAATGTTTATTCATCTCAGAGAGAGACAAAGGTGGTAACAGCCCCCTGGGTGCTGTAAAGGACCCCATACCTATAAATTGACCGATGCTAAACAAAGGATCCCATCCTTTTTTTAATCAGACTGCAATAAAGATGCTTCATGGCACAAAAGCATATCCATCTCCTTATAAATGACATCTGAATGTTCTTCCCAACCTGCTCCAGAGACAGGTTTACACCTGCGGCCCCTCCATGGGCAACATAAGAGCAGACACGTTATTTGGACAGTCGCAGATAAGCTGCATTTTGTCCACAGATTATAAACAGATATTCATAGTTCTAGTTCTCCCTCCCCACCCCTTCCCCCAAAATAGACTACATTTTGGCTTTAAGTGGGTAAAATATAACCACCCCTTAAAATAGCAAGTTAGAAAAGAGTTTGTTTTACAGAGCCGCCTCCTGTCAAGCTACTACTGAAAGTGCCCTTCGTTTGGGCATCTACGGCATCTGAAAAAGAAAAAAAAACAAACTCCCCCCTCTGCCCATTATGGCATCTGCCTACGTTACGGCCTCATGACAGCAGAGGACTGGCTCCAGTCCATTTCCTGACCATCCGGTTCTTAATTATTTGGCTGCATGAGTCCTGCTGAGCACCATGTGCAAATGTGCAATAGGTCATGGACTCAGAATTGGGGTCTGGCCCAATCCTGATATTACAGAGACATTTTTAGAAAGACACTACGCATAATACGGCCTTCAGCAAAGCCCGGCCAATGGTCACACTTCATTCCTGCGACAGCCAAGACCTTTTCAAATGCAATCCAATAATACACAGTAGCATTCAAACAAGTGACGGGTTACAGAGAGAGATGTGTTACTGCTTATAGTACTCAGCTGGGCCGGCTTGGTTAGGGGCTGTCACGCTTTGCGTGCCAAAGCGTCTAGCCAACTCTGCAAGAAATCCCACAATGTTAGACAAGAGCGTACAGAACACATTTCAACACCAAGAAAAAAAAAAAAGAAAAAAAAACACAACAAAACCACCCTCACCCATACTGTCCCTCAAGTAAAGTCACATTTCACTGCTTGTCTCCAGAAGTGAGAGCTGAGTTCATGTGAAACAAAGCTCCTATACCTGATTTCACGCCCAGACCATCAGCAAACTGGGCAAAATTGCTGAGATGCTTGCAGAAGGGCTGCACACTGCAGTCATTCATCAGTCCGGGCTTTTCCCAACACTTCCACCTCCCCCAACCCATTCGCATCTGCTCCACCTGGAAAAGGAGACGACCACCATTGTACAGGAGATGGGAAAGCAAGAAA